GGGGATCTATAACTATGTGACTTATAATGGATAATGACTAATGAGTATCACATACGACCTGTATTAGATGTGTAGAGGAAATGCGGCAGTTTCAAAAAATTTTGCTCACATTCCTGCTTACGCTCTCCCTGCAGTTCGCTGTGCAATTACACGGATTACGGGTGGTGTTTTCTACATAACATTATATCGATGCCTTGTCTTGTAGTCCCGTCAACCGCACCTTCCCGCGCTAATCGGCGGAACAATTCGAAGCTCGACGATGTTTCATCACGTTCGTTTGTAAGCATCGAATTTCAATCAGCTGAGGCGCTCGGAGGTTTCTGTGAGGTATGCAGGAGCATCCAGTGGAGGTTTTGCTTTGATTCCTTATCGCTGTTAATGGCATATTTTTTAGGCTAATGCGCGTATCCCGGAATGTGGATTCTGCCGAATATGGTGAGCTTCGTTCCCACTCATTGGGACTTCAACTGTGATCCTTTTTGGTGTTAGTTCGCTTATACTTTAACTTTCAATGGACAATCTTAGCCTCTGTCCTTGCTTGACTAACCCGGCCCTTCATGGCTTCCGCTTAGCTCTGATTTATGTTAAACCTCCTTGTGAACTTATACTATTATGGCAATGGTTCACTAGCCCCAGAGTTCTTACCGTATTACCTTCAAACGTAAGAAACCGTATCCCCAGTTCTTGCTTCTATTGATGATCTCTTTTTTCATGTTCTGCTTTTTATTTCTTGTATTCGAATGTTTCCAGTTCTGATTCATTTTAGATGCTCTGCTGAACTTGATGCCTTTCCCCTGCACAAGAACAGCAGGAACAAACAAGGAAGAAGCGGCACTGGTCGTCGTTGCATTTATTGTCCACAAAGATAAATTCGGCACCAATGTTAACTCAGCAAACTGATCTCTTTGTTCGTGCGACTACTGTGAATCAAATAAATATTAATTTCGGATCTTTTACCGTGACTGTTGAGTGGGACGGATGAACTGCTGTTAAGCACGCCTTTATGGTAAATGGTAAGATAAACTACCATGAGACAAGGAACTTTGTTTGAAAGGCTTCATTTGAATACTCCTACCCCAGTATTCCGCAATCAGGCCGCGAAACCGGTTTTTACCGACTTTTCTCCTCGTGGGGTAAATTCTGAAAACTCATTTCCAGTGTAGTTCGACATCCTAAACATTAGCACATTCGCTTGACCCGAAACCGCCTAGCGATCGCGCCATAGGCGCCGTCTTCAATACATCCGATCAGCAGATTCCATGAAAAGTTATATGCGGAGATCATTTGACATCCCAATTACGAACATGACATTCATTATTGGCGCCGGTACTGATGGAGGACCCTAAGATCATCTGCGCTCTGCTAAGGCAGGTCCTGGCCGAGGGGAATTACTACTTTGCTCAGGTTCAGCCTTAGCAGAGCGCTAAATGGCGTTGGTGTCAAAAGGTACATGCCATACTCGTGATCAGGGCATCACAACCCTATTCAAAAAGTTTTTTATCGATTTTGGATAAAAGAGAGTGTCGGCAAACGGCGTCATCGTAAAAAATGAAAACTGTGTCCGTGGAGTGGATGTCAACTAATTCCTGCATACAAGGTTTATCGATGCTAGTGAGAAAGATGGAGGCGACAAGCTAGCGCAATGGCGCCAGCGTCGAGAAGTAGTTTCATATTTGTCATCACGGCTCGAAGTTACCCCTATATCAAGGTTTCAGTAAGAAAAAAAGGGTTTTGAGTTTTGGAGGTAGTAATCGTTCAATAGTGCCGTTTTTTTATATTTGTCACATCAATTGTAACTGGCTATCAGAACCAGTGACACCAGTTTTATGGAACTGAGAGAGACAGAATAGGGGAGTTGTCAATAAGTGATGTGAGAATTCCCGCGAGTACACCTGCTCACACGCGAGCTGTTGTAAGTCAGTACCGATTTTTTCTCAACATCACTCCAATTTACACGTGGCGGTGTTGGCCAATGCAACCACGCACTCTGTTACGAGGACCTTCTTGGCTCCGCCCACCTGTCCACCTGGCCAGCTGAATGGACGTCCCAGGGGGTTTGTTACTCTTCGAAAACTGAACTTTTCTTCATGCAACTTTGCACACGACCTCCATTAACGACATACAGCGTATCTACATGGGACATAAAGGAGTCAAGTTTCCGTGGGCGATTCCTTTAACCTCGATGTAGGGGTATGTATAACCTTTACTAGTACTCCGCTGTTGCTTTACCGTAAGGGCATGAATCAAAGAAGAGTGTTTTGAGTTTGTTCCGCTTCGGGAAGGCACCTCCCTTGCATTTACATCTGCCGACTTCTAGCTATCATGAAAAAGTATTTTGATACAGCTTCAGGCAATAAGTGGTAGTCGATCCCCTGAGTACATCCCAAACAGTGATGCGCTGCGTATAGCCACGCCGGAGCTCACATCTGCCGAATGTGTTTCAATAGGATGTGGTAGGAGGAGCTGTAAATTCGTAAAAGATGTCATCTTGACGTTATACTCTTATACTTCAGATACAGCTGAGCTCCAGAACCCCCGCGATAATCAGCCAGCTCAAGTCCTCTGTCCAATACTATCAAGCCGGAGAACCGATGGCACCGCAAGGTCTAGGGTTCATTGCAACCCTCACATATGAGCTTGCTGATCCACGTTCGTATTGCAGAAAAGATATTGGCTACGGCCATATAAGCACCCTTCATTAATCAAGGCACGTGTGGAACTCGAATACCACGTCGTCCACTATCGTTTCAAGGTTCTCAAGCTCTTCATCATTGTCTGCAAAAACGTTTTAGAGCTTATTGTCTCTGCATTACAGACATGACTCGTGCGTTGACTCATTTCGGAGAAATCTCGGTGGAGCAATTGGGCGAAGTTATGTCGCACTTTGACGTTGGCGACGAGTATGACGTCTGTTTCCTTTGCACTTACGGGGACTGGTAATCAAAGATAACTTCAGGAATTTCTTAAACGTAAAGTGAGAGAGAGCCGTGTCAGCGTGGAAGAGGCTAAACTGCTGCAAGTGGCCGTAGCAGAATTACCACAGTCTTCGGATTCTGTCGTTCGCTCTCTGATGGCAGTGACTGCAAGGCAATCAGACGCAATAGTTGGGATGACAGTACTAGTCGGTTATCTTGAAACCATTTAGCACCTTAGAAAATCGTCCTCTGGCTTAAATTTGCAGATCGATTCGCTAATGTGGTACACAAAACATCTGCACCGTAATGTTCGCACTTATTGGATGCAGCGTCAAGGCATAGCGACCCAAAAGTTGTCGGACGGAACTTCTCTGCATGCTCGGAACTTGACTAAGGCAGTGGACAGTTGAAGAGTCGTACCCATTTAAGGTAGATCTGATGGTCACATTAAGGTATTTGTAGGTGTGAATTGAAGAATAATAGTGTTCTTTTCATGCTACAAATCTGAATTGCCTGCTAGAACACTGGAAACGTACTCTGCGAGCGCGCCCAGAAGATCACACGACTCAGTGTACCGACTTTTTTAGGCAGTACTTGACTCAGATAAGTTATTAGGCTAGTGAATACCTCCATCGTCACAATCTTAGTGCTCAGCTAACTTTAGGCGTGCGATCCTGCCCACGTCATTCAAGGGTACACGTACCGGTTGTCAGGTAGATACCAAAAAAGCCTCATTCGAAGGACCTCCCGAGTGCTGTTGCGGAAGCACTGATAGATCAGTTACAGTGGATCAAGGCGTCGAAAACACTATTGTAAAAGGTCTAAATTTACTTATCAGGGTGCTGTCCTGATGGCTTAAAATTGCACGCCCCGGAATTGGATGCCGCTCCGGAAGAATTGATTGAAAATCCCACTCAGTGAGGCAGACTAGTTGCTAGTGACTGCGTTTTAATTCATTTTTTAGTTCTGGCTCGATCTTGGGAACAATGATGCGGCAAGAGCTAGAGCGCTCAGGAAACGCAAGAATGTGCCCATGTATTTGGCACCACTTTTGCGAGGGTCACTCGCGCGAGCAATGTAGTGTTAAGGGGAGGCGTGGTTCAAAGATTTAGGTGGATGACCACGCTGGAATGGTGTGTACGTGGAAGAAGAATGAAGAGGATAGTGATAGATGTGATCTAAGGCTGTATAAGGCTGAATGTGCAATAAACATTCATTCCGCCCTGTCTCCTGGTGTCGTCAACTGTAGGTATACGGAACGTTGGGTAATTTTATGAAATAAGAGGCGCACTATGGGTCGGCGTACACCCCGTTCGTCGGCGTACGCCCGGCGTGGCCGAAATCGGAGATGGCCGGGGCGAGGCCTTATGCCCCTCCCCGAGATATGAAGCGCCTTCGCCTTCTAGCTCCGGGACGCCCTCCCGAAGGGTGGTGTTGGAACGCGATGTGGCCGAAGACCGAGGCGAGGCGAGGCCTAGTGAAGAAGCCTCCGAAGCGGGGCATTAGAATTTGGAAAAATCTTTTTTGTGATGTATGCAGAAATAAAGAGTTTGGAAATAGATTTTGTAATTAATGTGGGGTTCCTCGAGAGGCAGGTTGAGCAGTAGAGTGACCAGACGGTCACTACATCAATAAGAAAGAGGATGTTAAGGAGAGGTGGCCATGCACCGACTTCGGTGGATGACCACCCTGGAATGGTGTGGACGTGGAAGAAGACAGAAGAATGAAGAGGATAGTGATAGATGTGATCTAAGACAGTATAAGGCTGAATGTGCAATAAACATTCATTCCGCCCTGTCTCCTGGAGTCGTCACTGTAGGTATACGGAACGTTGGGTAATTTTATGATGGAAACAATTTATTCATTGTTTAGGGAGGACATCCGACAATATGCAGTCA